TTTGCAAAATGGAGCATACAGAATTCGACTGGGCTATACTCCTTGTACTACCTTTAGATACCAATAAAAGTTTTAGGTTACCAAAAGATACAAAAAATTTAGATAAAAATCAGTTTATTTTATTTAATAGTTTATGAAAAGCCTATAATAGTTCTTAAAAACTTAATAGTATAAATGCTTTAGCATACTATTTTTCTAAGAAAAATAATCAAAATAGAACTATAGATTCCTTTAATTATTTTATGGTGATAAATGAAAGCTATGCTAGAATAGTTAAAAAAAAAATAGATACATCTAATATCCTTTGTATCAAAATAAAAGGAGAAATAATTCTTTTTGATGATCTTTAGGATGCATGTCAAAGTGCCAAGATTTTTATGTGATTAAATTATTCCACAGAATCAGAATGTATGAGCACAGAGGAAAAGCCTATCAAAAAGCAAAAAAGAAAAGCTATTGAAATATAAAAAGAAAATGATATATTGAAAAAAGAGAAAGAAAAAATAGAAAAAGAATTACGAGAATTACACAATATGATTATAAAACCCTTACAAATTCCACCATTCTTACCAAAAATCAATCTTAGCCATAAAATTCTTATACCTCGACTATTTTTTATGCATATTCCTATAATCTCTAATATTCCTTCATAAATACAAGAAATCATTTGGCAAAAAGTCAAATCCAATTTTTATACCCAAGCTTTATCTATCTACAAACTTATATCCAATGTTAATATTTCTAGATTATATTTTAAAAATCTTTACTTAGAAAGATCTCAGAAAGATTTACCTGCTACTTCATGGCCACAAATAATTTTAGATTTATCTGTATTTCAAGAGAGAATGATAAGTTATACTCCACCAGAATTACCAACAATTCACAAATTCATAACAACTCAATCTCTTATTGACCTAGGATTTTTAGATACTATGAGTTTTACCAATTTATCACAAATTTCTTCCTCAGGAAGACAAATAACAACTATTTGCAGTATTCAACATATACTCAGCCATACACATATAACAAAAGTTTTGTTCTCATTAATACCACTAATATGAGAAATTACAAGAGTAGTTCCACCATTTAATCATATATGTGTAACTCCAAATCATATGACAATTTCCATCTCAGAAGAAAGAATACTACCAATTACTAACAAAAATTTGGAAAAATATTGAAGATGTTGAAGATGCATTCTATAGTAGAAGATATAAACAACATTTCAGACTAGACACCAAAAATCAGAATGAAAATGATTATCAATTGGCCTTTCGGGAGAAGCATCATAATATTTATGTAAAGAAAATCATATCATTATTACATTATAATGATGTCTACAAAACTCCAACCAAAAATATGTTAAACTTTGACAATTTGGAGTATATGAAAAATTAAGATTTTATAAGAATTCAACAAAATGTCAGCAGATACAAAAAACAAAAGTGTCAACAAGAAAAGTAAAGAAGAATACAGTAAAAAGCAAAGCAAAAAAAAAACCCATGACCGACAAGAAGAGATAAAAGAACAACAAAAGAGATAAAGAGGAATCTCGAAATAGAAAAAAATTTTCTATAAAAACAGAAGAAGGAAAACAAAGGGAGACACGAGCCAATTTCTATGAGAAATCATTACTTAGAATATCAAAACTCTCTTTGTAATTTCAAATTTGATATTTCGATATCATCTTTATATTAGCTTCTTTATAATATAATACAATACAAGATCTATTTTGTAAGTTTATTACTCTTACTTTTAATTTATTGTTTACTTTTATGTATTTTTACAATATTTTTATAAAAATAAGAATGTTATGCGCGATATATATATATATATATATGTGTGTGTGTGAGAGAGAGAATCTTCTAGTTTAAAAATCCTTAAAGTAATAGATTATAACTGTTAAATCTAAATTAAATGAAAAGTTTAAATTGAATGTAAAAGTTTTTAAACTTACACTCGTATAAGAAAATATATATTTATATATAATAATAATAATAATAATAATAATAATTGCTTTAAATTTAATTTAATAGATCAAATTAATTTAAAGTTAAAATATATATGTTCACGTGACCCTCTAATGAAAATAAACACGATTTTCCTCAAATCTCACGTCCTCCCGTACCTAAGTTCTTGATGAGCACTGTTTTTTCATAAACACCTACAATCGGCGTTGCATGCCCATCGTTTAACTCCTTACGATACGAAACTGCAAAATTTCTTATTATTTCTGCAAGATCGTGACGGTATGACCAAAAATCTTCCCATTCCGCATCAACGATATGCTATTTGCCCGACCATGATTACCGTTCCTCATCCCGTCGAGAGAGGTGAAATAAATACATTAGTTCTAATAAAATGCTTGTCTATTTTAATCCTTTTCATTATTTGTTATTTAAATTTTACTAGATTGAATTAATCTATAAACATATTTATCAATCATTACACGAGTTAATTAACCAAAACTTCAATTCAAGTAGCACATATATAAACAAGGCTAGTATGGTCTTTATCTAGAAATACTAGTGAGCAAAAGGTAGACACTAGACACATACAATACAAGTCGACCAAATTATGCATAGCTAGCAATATTCACATTCTCCATGACACTGCTGATAGTTGTCTCTAAGTTGGAAGTGAAAGACCATGAATGAATATCGTGTAATTCCACCGATGATTAAGGGGTAACCGGGTTCTAGTCGATGGAGGTCAAAACCGTGCCCGACCCGAAAGGGAAGAGCCTTCGAGGGTGTGACGGAGACTGGGGATTTGTCGATTTGGATGGATGTGGTTGGAGATGAAGCTGCTGAGGCTGAGACGGGCCTGAGATGGAGGTTGGGAAGGTGGGTAAGCTGTTTGCAAGGAAAAGCAAATAGATGAGAGGTTGAATTATATATTTTTTAATGTGTCTTTAAGTATATGTTAAAGAAATTATATTAAATATTGCTATCACCAAAAAAGTTTATTTTACTTTTTTGGTAAAGTTGAATTTTGTTGATAAATTAAATTTTAATATATTGTTAATGTAATAGCTCAAAAATAAGGATAACAAAATGAGTGGTCTAATTTAATTTATAAAAAAAATACAGCAGAATAAACTGGAATAAGCATTCTCACTTAGCTAGTAAGCCAATGGCAAGTTATACGCTAAAAATAAAAATATGTTAAACTTTTTTTTAGGAAAAAAAATAGGTAGGTTAGTCCGTTAGTCCACCTTTTTTTAACCTTTAGCAGGTTAGTTATTTGCTAACCCATTAACGAGATGAATAAGCTTTAATGGCCCATTTTCAAAAGAGAACGACTTGGGCCATATTACTTTTTTTGTTGACTGTGACAGACTTACTTGTTTTGTCAATTGTCACTCGTATTTGAAAGTAGGGTTTAAAATACAAAAAGAAAGTAAGGTTGTTTTATCATTGTTTAGAAATAGTTGATTAAGAAAAGGAATACTAACTAAATAATTAAAAGTAAAAAAATAATATAACTATTATTAATGTAATTTTACCATATTTTTATACTTTTTATTGTGGTTTATAGTAATTTTTTTATTTCTTAATTTTTAGGGCAATAATTACTAATAGCCTTAAAAAATTATAGTATGATAACTTGTCACAAAAATAAGGATAATTTTTGTTGGGATTAAAATGTTAAGTGATTTTCAAAATTCAAAGAGTTATTATATGCTTATAAAGTTTATCTTGTTGAGAAAACTTGCTGTTTATAACTTTTGTAATAAGATAATAACTTGTTAATTTAACTATAAATCAATGGCACAACTTATAATTGTGTTTTTGTTATGTGAATGCATCTAAAGTTGCTACACCGACTTAACTCAATGGTTACTTAATCCTGATCTTATGATTTGCATGTGCATTTCTCAGTTAACTTAAGATGAATGTCTGTAAAACACATGGTGATTTGTCCTCCCTTATGATCTGAATAACAAAGAAAAGAAAAACAAATATATCCATATGTCTCGCCGAAAGATATGGGAAAGGAAGATAGTATTGAAGCCGATGATGTTCTTTCAAAAACTGCAGCAAAATTTCTCCGCGGATGGTGTAATATCCATGTGAAGAATGTGATCTGATGCACATTAATCATTCAGGAATAGGATCCATGTGGATGAGAATAGTAATCGCCGAACAGGGTCAATCAAGTTAAGAGTTAAAGCCACGGAACAAGTAGGTCCCACCGAATTTGAGGTTCGTTGCATTTATAGTTTATGGTGTTTAATTTGCCGCTAATTTCATATCGGCACGTAAACATAACCCAATATCCAACATGCTCTTTTTTTTTTGGTGAAAGAAAATTAGGTCAACATCATGTTAAAACGTGTAATATAAATCTTTAGAAATGTGGTTTTTGATTCATTATCTATCGAGAGAGATGGAATCACATGAGGACGGAATATTTTCAGATAATATAAAGACTGATAAATTTGTGAGTCAGCGAAAGGAGCAGTGAAATGCTAAAAATGAACACAACTAACTGTGTGTCTGTATCAAATAGAGCAATTGGAATGTGAAACGTCAATGGCCATCCTCTTTCTTGTGGAAAATGCAGATCCATGCTGCCTAACATTTTTCTTATATATATACATATATATCCAATATACTATTTACATACCAAAATCTATGGCGCCACTTTATGTATGAAAATTGATAATCATAGGTAACCCAAAAAAGAAAAATCTTGCTAATCATATAGGCAGAAGGCATCACAAACACGGAAAACAATGTATGACGTTCAGGGGGAATGGGAGAAGCAATATCTTGTTCATGAAGACTTATATTCCATACCATATATCTAGGTCCCTGACTCATTTAGTCTGACTTTAATTCTCATATGCATATAGTGACTACTATACGTCACGTTATCTCCCACTCCACCACATCATCGAGTTAGTAACTGTTAGGTAACTGCCATGCTCTCTATATATACTCGCAAGTTTAGCTGAATCCTGCAGAGTTAAGAGAGTTACGTAGCAATACATCATGGGGTACTATTTGGTTGTGAGTGGTGTGTTCTTCTTGTGTGCCATGGTTAGTCACAATGGACTAGCCATGATGGATGAGAAGTTAACTGGTTCCTCAGCTAATTATGACTATGCAGATGCTCTTGGCAAAGCCATCTTGTTTTTTGAAGGACAACGCTCAGGGAAGTTGCCCACCAGCCAACGAGTCAAGTGGAGGGGGGACTCGGCTCTCTCTGATGGCAAACTTCAAAACGTATGACAATATTTCTACATTGTAATACTAATATATAATAGACCAAATATTGAACGGGTCTGAAAATTTTGAACACAGTGCTATGATTATATTATATATATGTGTTTCATAAATTTCTTTATTAATCATCTATTATCTTTGGCAGGTGAATTTGATTGGAGGATACTATGATGCTGGTGATAATGTCAAGTTTGGATGGCCAATGGCATTTACAGTCAGCTTATTGAGTTGGGCTGTTGTTGAGTATGAGAATGAGATATCTTCGGTGAAGCAACTTGGCAATCTCCACACTGCTATCCGCTGGGGCGCAGACTTCATATTGCAAGCCCACACTTCCCCAACCACGCTCTATACGCAGGCCTGTTTCTATATATTAACAAGAGTATTGTTTTTTTATTTAATTTACGCACTTCCAGTTACACCTGTTAAAAATAATCTCACTCTTGACACTTTTAATGAGATACAATGTCAACCAAACATTATTCTATTCACAAGTACTTGTACTTGCCAGCTAATCAAACACCGGTTTGAGCCGTTGGAAGTAATCGAAGGCCCCCCATAATTCGTTAAAACATATGGCGTACGACATTTATCAATATTAATTAATCACAATTTCAGTTATCACAATTCAATGTAACAACATGTACAACAAAACCTTATCCTACTATGTGTGAATACAATACAACCGTAAATTAAAACTATATTATGAAATTAAAATGTAGGACATGTAGGCATTATTATATCTTCATTTATATATATATGAGGAATGTATGGGGGGCGTCTTCACAAGCACGAATAATTTAATCACTGCTGAATGTATTATAACCAGTGCAACACAACATCAAATCGAAACCTAAATATGTAAATAAATAATTGACAAGAAAAATGGAAGCATTCATATGACCTATTGTTGACAGTTCACGTTTAAATGGGACATATATGTGTTGCTCGGTAATTATATTATCCATGTAGCTCATTAGTATCATTATGATAGGTGGGGGATGGAAACGCAGATCACCAATGTTGGGAGCGCCCGGAAGACATGGATACACCAAGAACAGCCTACAAGATCGATGCTAATTCCCCAGGAACTGAAGCTGCAGCTGAGTCTGCTGCTGCTCTATCTGCTGCTTCAGTTGTCTTCAAGAAAATAGATGCCAATTATTCCTCCACGCTGTTAAGCCATTCAAAATCAGTAAGCAATTTAAGGAGCGTGACTCATTGTCATTCATGAATCATAATGAGAAATTGGCTCCATATCATCCATTGGTTAGAATTGGATTTTTCCACTTTCTTTTATTCTCTCCAAACCCAAATGAGCTCTTGCATGAGAAGAGATATAAAATTATTTGTGCTTCAATATAACAATTTAATTATTTTAGGCCCTTTATACAAAATTTATTAACCTGTACACTAACAATGTTTTGCAGCTGTTTGATTTTGCAGATAAGCATCGAGGCTCTTACTCGGGTTCTTGCCCATTCTATTGCTCGTACTCAGGTTACCAGGTAAAGATAACATTGCTGTTGCTGGAAACATTTGAACATCATCTAATTTTTCATACATTATTAATTCATTAAGGCCGTGATTTCCGAATTATGTACAAAAAGGATGAACTGTTATGGGCTGCTTCTTGGCTATACAAGGCCAGTGGAGAAAGCAAGTACTTGAGCTACACCATAGGAAACCAAGGTTGGAATCAGGCAGTGTCTGAATTCAGCTGGGATAACAAATTTGTTGGAGCTCAGACATTACTAACGGAGGTCTTAATATATATTTAATTAATTACCAGTTAACTACCATATAACAATTTTGTATTCTTTTACTTTGAAGGAAAAAAAACTCATCAATTCTACTACTTTTTTATTTCTTTTCTCCAGGAATTCTATGGTGGGAAGAAAGATTTAGCCAAGTTTAAGAGTGACGCTGAATCATTCATATGTGCAGTGATGCCCGGAAGTAGCTCTCTACAGATTAGAACAACACCTGGTATATATATATATATATATATATATATATATATATAATATTTAACAAGTTGGCAACTTAACTAGCTAATAATTTTATTAGTGATGTTATTATTGATGGAAAAGACACTACTTGCATATCAGTTGTGCTATATTGTGCAAAACATGTTGTTATGAATTTTTAATGAATAAGCTGATCCCGTTGCGTATTATTTGTTCACTCAGGTGGGCTTCTGTTTACTAGAGACAATAGTAATCTGCAATATGTCACGAGCTCCACCATGGTGCTATTCATTTTCTCTAAAATCCTAAACAAATATCATATTGATGGAGTCAATTGTGGCTCGGCGCATATCACCCCTTCTGAAATTAGAGCCTTTGCAAAAACCCAGGTATATACTAATCCCACTTTTCTTGTCAAAACGTTATTAAGGCCATATATATAAAAAAAGTTACAAATACAGAAGACAAAAATTAGAAACATTTTTTCTTGGTTTTCTTACTTTTTGTCAATCCCCCATTCATTATATCAGTTAAATAATATCAACAACCATGCATGTGATGTTACTTGATACTATGTGCACTGCAGGTGGACTACATACTAGGAAACAATCCCATGAAGATGTCTTACATGGTGGGATTTGGGAGTAAATACCCTAAACAATTACACCACAGAGGCTCATCCATCCCTTCGATCAAAGTTCATTCGGCCAAGGTGGGTTGCAATGATGGTCTCTCGGAGTATTACTCTTCTGCTAATCCAAATCCCAATACTCATGTGGGTGCCATTGTTGGAGGCCCCAATTCAAATGACCAATTCAGTGATGCAAGATCTGACTATTCTCACAGTGAACCTACCACCTATATGAATGCTGGTTTCGTGGGTTCAGTGTCCCCTTTGCTTGGTGAAACGACCCAAACCAAACCAAGGACACTGCAGTTTCCCCAGATAGATGGTAGGGAGATTAATCAAGCTGATTAATGTAATATAATCCCTGATTATGTGTCAGATTGATTAAGCCGATACTAATTATTACCCCGCCATATCCATGTTAAGAAGAATTTCACGTAGAAATCCATTACATGTGAACTAGCCAGTAGCTAGTTGCGAGATTTAAATAATTTTAAGGAATTTTAGGTTCAAATCATGTACTGTATCATACAAATTAAAACCCCACTTTTATGGTCTGTTATAATGAAATCATACGCATTTTTCTCTACAAAGAACCATGTGCTTCTTGTTTACTTCTAGAAAAGGGAATTTGACTATAGGTTGTCTAGTAAGGAAACTCTTCCCACTCGGGCTATCAAAATTTCTCAAGGCATTTCACATGCTTTGTTAATTCTGTAATGTAAGCAAGTATATATTTTACGGGTATATATTTGTAAACGCATGGAACCAGAAAAATATGTAAATTTTAAAAATAAGTAGATAGAGATTATTTGTTGACAATATGTATAATTTTTTTTAAAAATAAAATATACTTATTCAAATCTTATATTTTTTTTGAAAAAATGACAGAATCTTCTCCTACTAGTGTAAATATAAAAAATTTTATATTTGATTAAAATTTTTATTTAACAGTTAATTAAGTAATAAATTATAACTCATTAGATGTAATGTAAGTTAAATAAAATTTTTAGATTAAATATAAAAATTTTTAAACTTATATTACTATAAGAAAAAAAAATTTCTTTAAAAAAATATTAAAAAAATGTAATTAATAAAATATTATTTTAACTATGAATGACAAATATCTCATTATGCTCAAATGTTTCCTTTCATATGCTTTCAATTGATAATTAATTTGTTGGGCTCACTAATCTTTAGTTCCTCTTAATATCTTAACGTACGCTCTTACGGTCTATATGTAGCCCACCAATTCCTTGATTAAACTATCGAGAGTTAAAGGGGATTGCTCAACTATGAAGTTTCTCAAAAATATCACATGCATGAAAAATGATAATATATATATATATATATATATATATATATATATATATTTATATTTATATTTATATTTATATTTCCCTATATCCCTATCAATCAAGGTTATGAAATCCAAGACGCATTATACTCCAATCTCTTTTTAACTAAAAGAACAAGTAATCAATAAATTAATATATGAATGACTAATTCGCAAAAAAAAAAAAAAGTAAGGATATGTCAGATCACTAAATAAAAGAATAAGAATTACAATGAAAGTCAAACTTAAGCATGCATCAAGTATTAGTATGATGCATCTCTTCCCTAACTAGATAGAGATTTTGTTAGACCTATATGTTGAAATGAATTAAATCAAAACAAAAATAAAATGTGTAAAAGAAAGATATGATCATGTTGATGAAGAAAAAGATTAATCTCTTTTCTAATTGACCTTCTTTCAAGTCGCCCTTTAAAGCAAATTAATCTAAGCCAATTGTTGGAGATGATGAGAAAAAATTAGATATGATTCAGAGAATGAATTGCGAAAATTCCGTCAACTTAACTCCTTTTTAGTATTTAGAAAGATTCAATTTCCTGAATTAATAGTAGACTAGATCTAGAGCGACAACATTGGAATCTTGAAGCTTCAACTTTGGACCTTACATCTAAACAACTTTGAAGCTTTAGCATGGAGCTCTAGCCTTGAGTATAGGGGCAAACTTCTACCTAATTTCGTTAATTTAGGGAATTGAGATTTATTTTCTTTATTTGGGCTTTCGTGTGTGTGACGGAGATTAATTATTCCTTCTTCTGGTCAAAATATAGAAAATAAGTCTTTCTATCCGGTGGCTTTCTGACTGGACTCGATGGATTGATCCCTCGTGTCCCCATTAATTTTTAGAAGAAAAAAACGAATTGACGCTTGTTATTTGTTAGAGAGGATCAAGGAATGATGATATCCTCCTAATCCTTGGTCAAGTTAATTTTTGTTTAAGGAACTTCAGTACCGCAAACAACATGATTACTCCTCCCACATGTTACCATATATCGCTGCAAATTAGTAGTCCTTTTAGAAAAATATTTTTTTTAATGGGCTTAAATATGAAATTGGTTCAGTGTTTTTATTTTATTTTAATTCCTACGTTTTTGAAAATTTGTGTTTTAATTTATGTCACTAACGTGATCCAATTAAAACCTTTTGCTCAACTACACCAGGAAAAGGAATTAAAACTGAAAAATTAACAAAATGTAATAAATAAATAAAAAGACCAAAAGCAAAAAAGTGCTGAAATATATATATAGAAATTATTTTCATATTTAAATATTTTTAATAATTATTTTAAAAGCTTGGTTAAATAAGTTTCATTCTTTATATATATAAACACGTTATATAAAATATGTTTTTTTTTTTTTGCAGAGTTTAATAACAATATTTATAGTTTCATAGAAAATAGGAAAATAGACCTGGTCCAGCTGGTTCAATTTTTAATGGATAATGATTTCTTCTTCTTCTTTTTGTTCATAATGGACCAGTGACTCCATTGCTTACACTTATTAGTTAACCATTTTAATATGTTTCCTCTGCAATAAAATATCTTTTTTTCAGTGACGCGCATCATCTTATATTATGTCTTTTGAGTTTAATAAATTTTAAAAATATTTATGATTTTAAAAAATACAAAATATTAATTAATTTTTATGAACATTCTTATTTATTGGTATCTTGCCTAAATACTTAAATAAATTAACAAATATATTCCCTTTTTAATAAAAATGTTTTTATTAAAAGATTATCATAGTAACTCATTTAATTAATAATGTTTTTTAAGGAAGTAGAGTATAATATTATAAAGTTTCAGTGTAAAGATGCAGGGAAAAAAGATGTAGTGGTATTGACAGTGAAATCTTTTGTTACATTATTAATCAAAAGATGAATTATTATATTATTAAAAATGATCAACTTTGGTGATAATAACTTTTTTTTTTTTGCTATTTGGTGATAATAACTTTAAAAGTTACACTTAATTAATATGTTATTTAATTTGTTAATAATGTGAAAATTTTATACCATTTTATTTTTGTCTAAAGTAAATGTATTTTCTATTAGAGATAATCTTGTTTAAATTGAATAAAATTATTACAATTAACAATTTTTTTAAAATATTTAACATAACTATATTGAGATTTGAACTTAAAATTTAAGTTAAGTTAGAAAATTTTCTATTAATTAATCCACGTGTTCAATAATAAATAAATTATACTATTAATTTATATTATAGGTTAAAAAGGCACGTTATTTACTTATAAACGAAAGCGAACAAATTTAATAAAATCAATAGCTATTTAATTCTTGACTTTGCTAATTTAAATAGCAAGCAACGGATCTCAAAATAATTTTAATGTTAATGATTGATTAAAATAATGAGCTATTAGCTTAATTGAAAAACACTTTGTTCAAATAATGAATATACAATAATATTTAAAATAATTTTAATGTTTGTGTAAAACATTTAATTTTCTTTAAATAAAATGTAAATATTAAGTCTTATATGTGTAGAAAAACTTCTCACTAAATGAATTGATTTCACTGTACTATGAATATCTTTGACTTGAATAAAATTGCCATCTTTAAATGAAATATTAGGTCCTAGACCAAAAAAATGCCTAAATCAGATAATAAGTGTTTAGAAATATAAAGGCAAGTAATTGTAATGTGGTTAACGTCAAGTTTGGTTGATTGAACTTGTTGAACTTGTATATGGCTGCAATAAAAAAGCTGTGGTGTTTTTTAAGGTAAAAGAAAAAGGTTGTAATGTTGTAAACCAAATATCACTTTTAACCTCCAATGCATGTGTTGTAGAATCATCCCAGAGACTTCGATAGAAAGAGGGGGATCAATTTCTCTTGGTAGAATAAAAATAATACTTGTAGAATTATGTGTGAACCAAAAAATTTTCTTTCTGCATGCAATTATATCCCAATGATGAACAGCGTATATGATTGGCATTTAATTTTATTTGCGGTCGATCTTGGGAAGAACAAAAGATTTTATAATACGGACAAAACAAAACAAACTTTAAAAAATTCTTAATTCGGAGGAAATGTAGGGGATCTACATAGTCAGTTGCCGTGCAAAAGAAAAATGGCAAACCCAAATTCAAGTTACGTTACTATATGAAGTCTCAGCAAAAGTACAATCTACAAAGGCAACCTTGTAATGCATTCCTCAACTATCACCTACAAAATCCTTCTCTTTCTTAAGACCCTTACTTCGTTCACGTTCAACACTTGGCGCATGCTCATCTTCAATGGACTCCGCCGTCTCAGGTGTCCGTGGAGAGAAAGTGTCTTGATCATGAGTTATTGGAGGGGCAACTGTGGAAGTGTTCTTTCGGGTGTTCCGAGCTCGCGAGCTTTTGCGAGGTGGGTGAGGATCGCTGTGTTCTGCGGTGTAGGTAACTATGAAAACTCCAGGATCCAAATGGCTTCGTTCCACCTGTTTCCTAGCCAAACACCCTTTGGAACTGCTGCATCTATAATAGCTACGGGGATAGGTTGATCCTTTTATTGGTTTCTGCCCATATTTACGCCATGCCCATTGGTCCGAGACCCCATCTGCTGCTGTCAACACGTGTTTCACCCTCTTGTTCTTCTGCTTCTTCTTGCTGAATCAATGATGAATTAATGCAAAAATAAAATAATACTTAAACTATTATATAATTAAGATATATGTATTGGTTATCTTTTCTAAAGAATCAAGTTCATATTCTTAGTTGGATATAAATAATTATCCGACCTTTTTTCACATTTAGATGGTGGGGGATCTCGCAAATCTTGTGTTGCTACTTCTTTTGATGGTTTGAGTTCTTTGACTTCTTGTTCGGTTTCATGGGGGATAGGCAGGGAATTTGTAACGATGGGAAGAGGGTTGTTGAGAATAGGGTGAGGGGGGTGTAAAGGTTTGTAAAACTCTTCCAATTCATCAACCACTGTTGTGGTTTCTGAGAATTCCTGAAAATTACAAAGTAGGTCATCATGTTCAGAAAAGAAATATTGAGAAAAAATGCGATGTGAGTTGTCCATGATTGTGGCTGGGGCGTCTCTGGTGCATCCCACAAGCGTGCAAGTTCATCCAACACCAAAATGCAGTTATATAGGAAAAACGTGTAGAGATAGAGATAGATATCAATTAGTCAAAGAAGAAATTAAGAGGCTGACTAGGACTATATAATGGAAGCCAAGCAAGAGGGGTGGGTTTTGGAGAAATGTCAGCCTAGTTTTGGCGATATATATATATATATATATGTAAATTTGAGTAAGCTTTGTTACTGTGTGTTTTGTGCCTTTGAATATATTTGCTTCCAAGTTCAAACTAACAACAGCGTTTAATCGAGTTGACTGAGTGTACAAGTCAAAAGGGGGCATGTACAAGTGCGAAAGGTGAACCCATTTCCTTTTCCTACCAGCAATTTGGTACTTGATCTCCCTTTGATGAGTATTGCCCTTTGTCTGGAATTAACTTTAAATTTTATATAAATAACTAAATATAGTCTTTTTATTTATATGCTTCTTAATTTATCATTAATACGAAGTTTTACTATCTTAACATTTTTCAAATCTAATTTGTTTTCACCTAACTGTGATATGTATTTTAACTTTTAAAAATTTTAAACTCGTATTTGAGTGGTATATTGATTTATAATATTTTAGATAATTTGGAATTATAGTTTATTTATTTATATATTTTTTAATCTTTACTAACTCACTGGTGTATGTTTATTTTCATGTTAAAATTGTGCTAAAATAAAAATTTAAGTTCAATAGGAAAAATAAAAACTAAATGCATGTATTTATTATGTTAAGCAAAAAAGTATATTTACATAAAAAAATTTCAATGAGACATGTAATTTATCTTTGTATTCATATTTATAAAATTTAAAAATAATAAACATTGATGATATAATTAGCTGACTTACATAAAATAATAAGTGAATAAAATTTATTGATTACCTTAAAATATCAAAATGAGTATAAAAAGTTATGTATGACAATAAAAATAAATAAAATTTTAAGTTAATACCTCGTGCATATCAAATTATTTCTATGAATATTACATCTTAACATTACATAACGCTCCTTAATGAATAGAAATTTTGTATGAAAACTTACAATGATAATGAAATATAAAACAAAGATAACTTAATCTAAATAAAATTAGTCTAAACAATTAAATTAATTATAATTTTTATTTTTTATAAATTATTTTTGATAAATTTTATAGTACTTTAAAAAGTAAAAAATATTATATATTATTATATACGTGAAACAATTATAACTGTTAATTTTAATAATAAAATTAGTGATGTATTAAGAAAAAATATAAATATTTTTTAATATTTTAGTATAATTGAGAGACTATTAGATACTGAAAAATACCATAACAAATATCATTATTTTTTATTATATTAATGAATTATATTTGTCAGATTTGATCTCGTTTGATTTATAGACTCACATTCGGGTCTTGGTGTAAAAGAAAATAGAAACATTCAAAGAGAATAAAAAAAAAAAATCTTGCTAAATTCACTTTTCTAAGTTTTTTTTTTTTCGGTGGTAGGAGTTCTGAGAATTAACAATAATTATATCTTTACGTAATTGTTTTATATTGTTTTGTTAACACGGTATCTATTAATTTTTTTTTTCTCTTTATTTCGTCTTGTCTTTTGTTTCCCCTCTCGTTACGCTACCCATTTCACCCTCATTTAATGAATCTTAAGAAATTATTTTTCAAAAATTAAATATATAATGTTACGGATTTTTCACATGGCTAAGTCTATCAGCATATAACTCCAACTAAGCTCCTGCCCTCATTTGTGGGTCAAGAGCTCCAGTGCCCTTGCCAAAAGACCACTCTCATTTTTTGGTACCGCACTACCACTGCTTCCCCTAACGTTGTATCAATGCAGAGGCTGCGCCCTGGATAATCACACTTTCTTGCTCCTTTCTTAATCACCCTTACCAGTTCCCCATTTATCAAGGAACAAAATCAACCCACCTATTAATTTGTTGGGGGCCTAAACCTTAGCTATTTAAATCAATATTTGGTTACATCCGGTCATCATTTTAATTCTTTTATTTAACTTCATCCTTTTTATAAGAATAATCTATCTATATAATATATAGAAATTCTTCTCCTAAAATTATTATACATTTAAAATAAAAGTATATTACAATACATTATTACTTACTCGATCTAGGGATTCCATCCTTTTCTTAACAAGAAGACATTCTATAGGAAAAATATTATATAAAAGTATACATATTTTCAAATGATTAAAAAATTAATTGTTAATCATATGATAGTTTTTTTTCCCTTTAATTCTATTATTCTCGAAATATATACTTTCAATTTTGATTAAGTGAATTATTCATTTTTATTATTTATTTGAATTTACAGAATATTTTTCTTATAATTAAATTTTCTAATTATATTTTAAAAATTTGCCTCCATTTTTTTAAAAGGAAAAAGCATGCAAGACACGGAAATATCAGTTAATTATCAATATCATCTCATTTTTATTGTTTTGAAGATTTTTCCTACTCAAATAAACACATCATCATCATCATTAGGGAATATCTCTTAACATAAAAAAATGGTCAGTGTATTGACTGTCGTTTATATGTATAGTTAAACGGCACGTAGTTCTGTTTGGCGCAAAACATTCTTATTTGGGCAGTGCGCGCCAATTGTGCAGTTATTGAAATTTAGAGATTCTACTCTCCAATGGAAGATCTTGCGAATTCGACGCTGAAGTTCTTCTCCGATCAAGAACTTTGTTATGCCGATATCGTTCCTCCTGCTCAGGTATTACTCTTCCATCAATCATCCTCTTTCCTTATTTTGATCCCTAACGGCGTGCCAATTTCGTTTTGATGAGTGCAGGTCCGAGCGAGAATTGAAGTGTCGGTGCTCAGTTTTCTCAAAATATTGAATGCATCCAACCCTGCCATCTCAGATTTGCCTCTGGTACAGATTAAATTTTAATCATAGGCTATATTTTTCATTGTCTTTCTATTTAATTCTGCATTATCTTCTCTTAGCTTGTATTGCTAGCAGAACACAAATATGTATGCATTAGTAATTTTAGATTGATATTCATAAGCAACTAGCAGATTCAGAGAAAATTGAGCAACAGTCGAGTGAATCATGGCCTGTTGACGGAACTATCATGTGTTTTTCTCTCCCATTCCATATCTACAAGGTCTCTGATGAGACGTAATGCAACAAAGGCCTTTGTTAGGGGTACAGACTACAAATACAGGGTTTCATTTTTCTTCCAAAAATTTTTACGTTTCTAAGTTATAAATTTATTGCTTGTAGTGTGGAAAGTCATGGAGATGTGCTATCAGATATTACTTCAGGAAAAGCGTGTCACCCAGAGGGAGCTCTACTACAAGCTGCTTTGTGATTCGCCACAACTGTTTCCTTCTCAAACACATGTCAACAGGACAATCCAAGGTTATTAACTGTCTTTTGCTTCAAGTTTCATGTCAGGGTGTTTTGAACGGGAATATAAATCTGCGCCAAACAGATCTCGTAGCATTGCTTCGGTGCAGCCGATACAGTCTTGGGATTATGGCATCTAGTCGAGGACTTGTAGCTGGTCGTCTGATTTTGCAGGTTTCTCATGAACCCTTCATTTTAGGATATTGCTGGTCGTCTGATTTTGGTTTGAAAAATTGTTTTCAGATTTTTTTTCACTCTTAATTATTAAAAAACCCACTTTGTTTTCACTTTATTTTCTGTTTTTAAAGATTCATGTAAGAAAATAGTAAAAATAATAACAGAAAGCATCTCAAAGTAAACACTCTAAGGGAAGTTTATATGAGGGGTTTTCTCTCACTGTAGTGTATGATGAAATGTAGCAACCGTAAAAACTAATCACTTCTAGTTTTCCCCATTTTTCGTGTATAGGAACCGGGCAAAGAGGTTGTTGATTGCTCTGTATGTGGTTCTTCTGGGTTTGCAATTTCTGGTGACTTAAATATGTTAGAGAACTTGATTCTAAATGCAGATGCTCGGTATGTTATAATAGTGGAAAAGGTGAGATTGTTAGAGGTCATTTGGTTTATTCAAATTCCTAATTTCACTCACCAGTTACATCATGATGCTACTTTGAAACGTTCCATACTTTCCCAAGGAAGATGGAAGAAGGATACGTTTTAGTACACAATTAACAATTGGTTCTCTATAGCATGCAATATTTCAGCGGCTCGCTGAGGATCGGTTCTTTCATCAAATTCCAAGCATTCTTATCACAGCTAAGGGTTACCCAGATATGGCCACAAGGTACTGTGTAGGCCAGCTCACATGAGAGAAAATTAAATAGCTTGGAACTTTTACGGGATGCTTTCAGAATTGGTTTTTTCCCCCATACTTGACACTACCATATAATATATTGTAGTCTCAATCTAGTGAGATGAGTGCTTGAATGTCTAAAATTCCTGAAGTTTAAATGCAGATTTCTTCTATATCGAATCAGTCGAGCTTTTCCAGACTTGCCAATTTTAGCTTTGGTGGATTGGTATGATTGCTTGTCTTCTGAAATACAGCTTTGACTGTCATGTTTTTTGAAAAAAAAGACGTTCTGCTTCTTTTTTATGTTTTTGTTTATTTGTATCTCCTTTCCCACATTTTATTTTTTAAAGGAATCCATCTGGATTAGCTATTCTGTGCACCTTCAAATTTGGAAGTGTAGGAATGGGCCTAGAGGCATATAGATACGGTAATTTTTAATCTCATTATACGACAAAGCCTACAAGCTGTAATATGTGTGAATCAAACTTACGCTTGAGACATGTTTTTATTTGCATTATCTAGCTTGCAACGTCAAGTGGCTAGGACTGCGGGGCCATGATCTACCCTTGCTGCCTGACCAATCTCTCGTTCCATTGAAGCCCAAGGATCTGCAAATTGCTCAAAGCTTGCTGTCCTCGGGAATCTTACAGGTAAACTATCCAGAAGCCCTGAATAAAGCCCGTACTATATTCTACCCCGGAGTCCTGATTAGTGATTAATGGTTGTCACTTTCATTAACATAATTTTCATTCTGCTTCATTTCTTGTACAAGACATTTTGGCATACATACCTATTGTGATTTATATCATTTGGTAGATTCCAAATAAGTCCTGCATTCTTAGATTCCTAAGCAGGAAACTTTTGTGCATAAGATTTGTACACGCATAAGGCTGTACCAAAGAAGCAATCTGTATGAATTATTATGTTAAAGGTAACGTGCACCAAGCATCCTCCTCCCAAAGGCTTAAAAAAGAATATTCTCTTCTACTAAAGTGTATTTTCCATTAACAAAATGTTGTTTAACAGGATAATTACATGGAAGAACTGGCCTTGATGGTTCAGAGCG